GAGCCGCGCACACACTCACAGGCAGCTCCCCTCTCCCCGCAGGACTGAGACGGGAAAGCAGGCGAGTGGCGGCCCGCACCGCCTGGCGGGGAAGATGCCGGGGCAGGTCTCGGAGCCCTGGAAAGACCACACTCTGTGTGTCACCTTTTATTCACACCTTCACGCTTCGTCCATGCTTAGGATGCACAAGAAAATCAAGAAAGAAATCTTGGGATTAAAAACAAAATTTTAGTTTCTCTTTCCTACAGGTAAAAATTTAGAGAGAGAGAGAGAGAGAGAGAGAGAGAGACTGGAACCCTGGGTAACATGTGTAATTGATACGGAAGCAGGAGAACATGCCGGGAGTGCACCCGCCGGGCCCCGCTGTCCGCGCTCAGTCCAGCTTTCCGTTCCGAAGGCTGCTGCTGGCTTTCTCGTGCCTCATGAGCGCGATGACTTTGAGGCAGCCCTTGGAGATCTTGACCATCCATATGACGTTCATGACGTCCAGCACCACGCACGAGACGGCCCAGGAGCACTGCGTCAGCAGCCCCAGCCGGGCGTAGGGCTCGGTGCCCACCACGGAGAGCATGAAGCTGTAGAAGGAAGGGATGGGCAGGATCCGCACCGCGAAGAAGACCAGCGTCATGAGGAGGCCGTTGAGGACGTTGGCCGTGGAGAACTTGGAATACTGCAGGGCTTCCAGGAACCACCTGGAAAACGTAAGGAACATCACATTGTCCTGGCTGGTGTGGCTCAGTGGACAGAGCGTTGGCCTGCGGACTGAAGGGTCCTGGGTTCGATTCCCAGGCAGGGCCCATGCCTGGGTTGTGGGCTCGATTCCCAGTGGGGGGCGTGCAGGCAGCCAATCCATGATTCTCTCTCATCACTGATGTTTCTCCCTCTCCCTTCCTCTCTGAAATCAATAAAAATACATTAAAAAAAGAAAAAAAAATAAGAAATGTCTTATAAAAATAAGATGCATTGCTTTGCATCCCTGGGGAGTAACCGTTTTAATTTCAGTTCTTACAGTTCAGTGAACACACCCCTAAGATGTACATGAAGAGGCCAAGGGCAGATGTAGAAACAATGACAGGTGCGTGTGCATGCCCACGGGGTAGTACACGTCCAGCTGTCTGTGGGGAGGGTGCGGGACACAGCTGCCCGGCGGCCGTGAGCACGCCCGGGCCCGGGCCATGGTCTCTAACTCCCTTCTCCCACGAAAGGGACCAGGGGGCCGGAGGAGTCGCTGGTCCTGGGGCTGGGACACAGAACTCACAACACAACACGCCCTATAGACGGGTCGTCTTTTAACAAACATGTCTTTTATCAAAAGACAAAAGGATGAGGTTGTGTCAAAGGGACATAAAGACCAACTTAAATCACCCCCAAAGGCAGAACCGGTAACAATTCAACCGCCACGTAGATCATGTCGCATTGGCTTGTTCCTGGGGGTTAACTGTGGGGGCAGGCGTGCCGCTATTTACAAACCGAGAAACACTTTGTGAGTGTTTTTGTGTGTTTGTTTGTTTTTTAATATATTTTTATTGATTTCAGAGAAGGAGA